CCATGCATGCTCGAGTTGGAACGGCCCGTTACCAAATTGGAACGGCCCGTTCTAGGGCTATGAAAATCCAGAATTACTAATTAATAAATAAATAAATAACATATATATATATCAAATGAAAATAAAATATCAATACAATTTAAAATATGATTTTCTTCAAATAATAATTATAACAAAATATCATAATTAATAATATTATACAAAATAATTTTCATAAATGATTATTATTAAAAACCTTTTAAAATTCAATCAAACCCATTTAATTAATCAAAATAATTATAAGGAAATAATCTTCATAAATACAAAAATAAATAATAATTATTCGTAGTATTAGTAGAAAAGTTCGGGGTGTTACATAGAGAGCCACCTACTAGTCTAGAAATTGACTTTATTCTAATTTCCTATTTGCCAAATAGTATTATTCTTAACAAAAGGATACAAATCCCTCATACTAGTCCAAATTGATGAAGTAAGGTGGTCAACCACATTATCATTTCTTTTGTATACTCTACAAGCTAAAATTTTAGTCCAATCACTATCTTGCTTTAGAAAATGCCAACATAATTTCAACATGTATGCATCATTAATATAAAAAAAAAAATGATCTAACACGAAGACCTCCCTCATCCAAATTTGAGAAAATTGACTTCCAAGGTAGAGTAATAGGATTTTACTAATAAATAGAGCCCGTCCAAATAAAAATTTTAAACTAGTTTTTATGCATTTTAAGTAATGAGGGAGGCCATTTATAAAATTGAAACCTATCGATCAACATGCTTTGGAGAATGGACTTCACAAGTAGCAAACAACCTATATATGAAAGTATAACCATTTTCCAATTAGCTAGTTTTGACTTGATTCTATCTACAATAGGTAATAGAAACTATTTTGAAAAATTATTGAGTAGTGTAATAGTTGGTAAAAGTTATATCAGAATTGTTTGAACCCTCCTCTTTCTCTCTCTTTCTCTCTACATACATTCATACATACATACATATATACATATATATATATATATATGTATGTATATATATATGTATGTATGTATGTATGAGGGGATCAAATGACTCTAAGAGTAACTCTTACTTAAGTTATTCTACCCAATAACTAATTGTATATGTTGGATTTCAACGATTCAACTCTTATATTAAAAATTCTTAATGCATAAATCAAGTCTACAAATTTAAAAAAAATTGAAAACTATTTAATATTTCATTTCGTTAATTCAAATCGACGAATAATCATAACAACATTTCATACATTAATTTGAGTGGAATAAGTTACTTCACTCAATAACTCATGTTTCATATCAAATTTTAATGATCCAACCATTGAATTAAAATATTTTAATATATAGTAATATATGAAAAACGTAAATTTCCAACGGACATAATTCATCAGTAAAAAGGAATATTCGTCAGAAAAAGAGAATTTTCAACGAATTTTTGACAGATGCAAATCTATCGAAAAAAAGGGTGTCAAAAAAAATCCATCAGAAATAATTTAATCCGTTGGAAATTTCCAACGGATAATTCTATGATAAATATCCGTTGGTAATTTCTATTTAATTTTAATAAATTTATTAATGTAACACCTATCATATTTGACCTCTTAAGGACTTTGTCACCCATTCTTAAATTAATCCAAGTCAAGTACGCTTAACTGTCGAGTTCTAATGAGAAAAGTTACCAAAAAGGGGAGACATCTTGTTAGTATAGGCAGTACAAATTAATTCCTTTAAACCATCATCAACTAGACAATCTCATAGTTGTACAATCATTGGATTTCTCTCATTCTGGTGTATTCGGACTGTTATAAAAATATAATAATATATAATAATTATATTATATTTAATTATATTAACAAATAATAATTATTATATTATGTTTAATTAATATTTATTTGTATATATACTTACTTTTATAATTAACAATCTACTTAATTTTGCCAGGGGTTACTTTGAATGTGTATGTTGAATTTTGTAAAACAATGAGCAATAATAAAAAAGTAATCAAGTAATTCATATTGAAGTATATTTTGAAAAATATATATTACGTCAATTTTGATCTATATAAATGTGATATCAAATAATTTTAGATTAATATAAAATTTAATTAGTGTATATTATCTACGTGAATAGAACTTTCAATTTAATAGCGAATTTCAACAAAACATTGTAACACCCCAGTTTTCAGCCAGGTTATTATTATTATTATTATTATTATTATTATTATTATTATTATTATATGGTATTTGGTCATAATTATTTTAATAATTATAGAGAAATATTATTTTGTACGTTTTAAAAAATTATTGTTTTGGACAATTATTTTGTACGTATTAAATAAGTATTTTTATTAACGTTTTTAAATAAATATTTATATGTTTTAAGAGAAGGTTGATTTTATATGATATTTTTTTATTGAAATTATATTATTATATTTTGCGTCATAAATATATTATTATTATAGAGGAAAAATATTTTATAATATACATGTATTTATTTTATTTAATTATTTTGAGGAAAAAGAGAAGTGGGTTAGAATAGAAGGAAAATGGGTTGGTTTGACCCAGCGCAATGGATTAATTTTAAGAAAGGAGTCATGTAGCGTTAACCCTATCTGCCTCTTTTGCGTTCTGAAGGTTTAAGAAAAAAAAAGAAGAGAAATAAAGAGCTCTAAGGAAGAGTACTCAAGAACGATTTTAGATCACACCAAGACCATTCGTCTTCTGCTCATCCAGGTAAGCGGGGAGTGAGAAACCTTACTCTGGGTGTGGGAATGTATGTTGGGTAGTGGGATTGACCTCCAATCTTGTGTTTGTTGTATGCTCATGTATGAGGGGTTTTCCCCAATTGTATCTGTTTCATCTATTGTTCCTCTTGTATGTAATTAATTGTATAAATTGCTTGAATGAATGATTAATTTTAGTTTTAATATTGTAATTGTATGATTTGAGATTTCTGTGGGTCCCTACAGGAAATCCTATGAGAAAATGGGCAAAATATGAATGTTTTCTGTTTTGCCTTCTGATTCCTTTTTTGTTTTCCTCGTTTGATGTGATGCATGAGTATGTGGTTAATTTTGAAAATAAATGTGTTTTTATATGAATTAGAGTGCTTTGTGGGTTCCTACTGGAAACCCTATGAGAAAATTAACGGGCAAAATTTGAATGTTTTTTGTTTTGCCTTCAGATTGCTTTGTTGTGTTCCTTAGTCTTCCTTCAGTCTTCGAGAGTCTTCAAGCTTTATTTCCGACCCGGACAATTTTAGGGGTCTACAGTTCTTAGTGAGAATTGTGAATTAGGGTTGTTCAAAATAACCAAAAGAACCGCATTGAATTTAAAACCAAACCAAACTATTTACAAAAAACCGGAACCAATTATAATAAACTAAACTTATTTTTTTAAAAAGCTTTGGTTCACTAAAACCGGAAAGCGGAACAGCTCTCTCACTCACTCTATCTCGCATACGCACAACAAATAACCCACATTTCATTGCTCAGCCACGCTTTTGATAGATGGCCAGTGGAGGTAGTGGGTTTGATGCCAATTCCGGTGGGTAACACATTTCATTGTGCATGCTTATTCAATCTTTTTCAGACTCTCGAATCTTTCGCTGGTAATAGTGTTTCTCTTCTTTTTTGCTTCTTGTTTTCTTTTTCTTCTTATTTTTACACTTTTCTTTCTTTCTTTTCTCTCTCTCAAGCTCTTCTCCTTTCTATGTTTTTTTTTAAGTGCCTTTCTATTTTATTTTAAACATTGTTTCTTTGTAATTTCGTTAATTAGGATTGATTGGGATTTGATGATGAAATTTTGTATGATCTTTGTAAATTTGTTTCCTTTTTTATTATGCCGTTATGGAAGATTTTTATTTGAGGGTAAATCTGTTGTCGATAATTTGGTCTGAGAATACTTCTTCTTAGGATTTTTAATTTTGCATGATTTAGATAGTGAAATAAAATTGAAAATTTGTTGTATGAGTGAGGATTTTTTTTTAGGGTAACCGTATAAGTGGATATTTTAATTTAAAATATAAGATTTCCGATTTGATTGGTGATTAATTAAGAGTATTTGATTATAATAATGTTTTAACAAATTATTTCATGATATAAAAATATATGATTAGATATTTTAATTAAAGTGGATAGTTGCTTATTTTTGTTGGAAATTGTCTTTTTGCTTGACAAATTTTGTGCATAGGAAGGGATTTTAGGTCTATGAAGGAGTTTTTTTAATGTGTTATTATGATTAAATTTATTACTGTTCAATCTATAGATCTTCAAGACAACTACATCAATCAATGGCTGATCAAGATGGCATTTTACCCTTTGAGACAACAAATCATTTAGTTTCTCCTCCACCTACTACTGTCTCTAACACAAGTAGAATGCCACCTCCTCGTAGTTTTGATTCACGCAAAAATCGATCTAAAGTATGGGATCATTTCACTAAGGAATCCAATGAAGATAAGATAGTTAAATGCAACTATTGTGATAGGTTGATTAAATTTGAAAGTGGAACAAGTGCAATGCGAGCTCATCTATGTAGATGCCAAAATAACCCAGATAAAGAAGCAAGAAAGAAGCAAAAGTCAAATTCATCCACAAATGTTGTTTCTTCTCCTTCCTTGGCTAGGCCTAAAATTGACCAGGAAACATGTTGGAATGCATTGGTCAAAATGTTCATAGCAATGGAACTCCCCTTTCGAAATATTGAGCATGAAGCTTTGAGAGAATTTTTAAGCATTATAGCACCCTCTCTTACTATCTACTCACGCACTACCCTAGCACGTCATACTTTGGAACTTTGGGATAGTGAAAAAGCAAAGCTAAAAAAGTTTCTTTCTCGACACTGTCATAGGGTTTGCCTCACCACTGACATGTGGACTTCAAGTCAAAATCTAGGTTACATGTGTTTGACAGCTCATTTCATCGACAATAACTGGAAGTTGCAAAAGAAGATATTAAATTTTTGTCGTCATAAGTCACTCAGGAAAGACTATGGCTAAGATAGTTGAGCATTGCTTGAGTAGTTGGGGTTTGAATCGGGTCCTTAGTTTAACAGTTGATAATGCCTCATCGAATGATGTTGGAATCCAATATCTCAAGAAGAGGCTAATGTCATGGAACAGTTTGGTTATGAAGGGAGATTATGTTCACATGCGTTGTTGTGCACATATTCTTAATTTAATTGTGAAAGATGGATTCAAAGAAAATATTGATGCTGTTGTGAGAATTCGTGCCGCTATCAAATATGTAAGATCTTCCCCTTCTAGGCTATCTAAATTCAAGGCATGTGTTGAGCAACAAAACATTGAATTTAAAGGGCTTGTTTGCCTAGATGTTGAAACCAGGTGGAATTCTACATACTTAATGTTGGAAGCTGCATTAAAACATCAAAAGGCATTTGAAGAGCTTGAGATGCAAGATAAAAAATACATTGAAGAGTTGGAAAAAGGGAAGGGTGTTCCTACATTTGGTGATTGGGAGTTTGTGAGTGGTATCTTACCATTCTTAAAGTTGTTTTATGATGCTACTATGCGTATCTCTGGTTCATCTTATGTGACTAGCAATATGTACATGTTTGAAGCCTTCGGGATTAGAATAAAGATTAAGCAAATGTGTGCTTCCAAGGATGTGATTATAAGTATGATGGCTGAAAACATGAAAAAGAAATATGATAAATATTGGGGAAATCCTGATCGACTGAACATGTTATTATTGATTGCTCTTGTGTTGCATCCAAGATATAAGTTAAAATTCATGCATTGGTTGATTAATCAAAGTTTTGATGGTGTTGTGGCATCTAATTTGAAAGACAAAGTGGAATCAAGTATAAGATTACTTTTTGAAGAGTATAATGGTGGGAGAATTGAGTTTGAAGCTAACTCACAAGAAGCTCGACTCAATGAAGAAGCAAGTGACGATCCTTATGGCTACAACCAGTTTTTCAAATCAACTAGATCTCATAAATCTGAATTAAGTAAATACTTAGAGGAAGCCTTAGAAGAGAGTCAAGGAGATTTGGATGTTTTAAATTGGTGGAAGCTAAATTCGGGTCGATTTCCAATTCTTTTAAACATGGCAAGAGATTTGCTTGCTATATTTGTTTCTACTGTGGCCTCTGAATCTGCCTTTAGTAGCGGAGGAAGAGTTCTTGATGCATATCGTAGTTCTCTTACACCACAAATGGTGGAAGCACTTATTTGCACGCAAGATTGGCTCAAAGGAACACTTCCACCATTGTCCTTGAATGAAATAGAGGATTTTGTGGAGCTTGAGAAATTTGAACAAGGTAATAAATTTTTTTAATTGCCTTACACTATTATTTTATTATCTACTTAATATAACATGACTAGCTACTAATTGAATATTTTTCTTTATGTTGCAGATATTGTCCCCTCACAAGATGGTGCTTATTCAATCTCCTCCGTTACACTTGATGATGACTAGAGAAACACTTACATTATAGTTTACATATGTTATGCTTTTGTGTAATCCCATTTAGAGAGAGAAGGAATGGGAGTTGTAGGCAGTTTTGGGGAATTTTGTTAGTAGTGGGTCAGGAGCTGTGCTCTATGGGTATTGTAGATTTTATCTCTATAATACATTTCATCTTCTTCAGTAATTCAGTATCTTTCATATCTTTTGGTTGGTCTGATATTATCTTCTTTCATTTTTTACCGTATTGCTCATGTTTAATTTTATGCACTATTGCTTACATACAGATGCTTGTTGTGGGTAACTGGTCAGGATTATGGTATGCAGCTATGCATTGTTTAACTGCAAACTCGAGCATAAGTTTGCACAAAGTTTGTGTGTTTTGATTTTATAATATAATTTTCAGGAATCCATTGTTTTGATTTAGTGTTTTTATACATTTGGTTTTTATGTGAGCTTGACAAGCTTTCTGCATTTGATTCTCATTTTGTGGCAGTGATATTAAGTTGTTTCTATTATAGATCTTACTTTTAGTTGAAGAAGAAACCCATCCTTATTATTATTGGATGGGAGACAGAAAGCCTCTATGAAAATTGAGAAGGATGAGACTGACATTCTTGCTAAATCTCAGATAAACTTAGAATTAGCAAAGATAAGATCCATGACTCCGCAAGAAGCTAAAGCTTCAACGAAATCAGGGAAACCAAAGAGGTAATACTTCTAGAAAAACTCATCTTTTCCTCTCTTTTTTCTTTCGTGATACTATAATACATCTGTAGGACTTGTAGAAAATTATTTTTTATGCAACTTAGAAGTAAAATGACTAAACCACAGGTTTATCTTTAAATATGTTTAGGAAATTTGAATTTTATATTTGATATAACCTAGTCATCAGTTTCTGATAATGATCAG